TGAAGAAATAAAACCATATTTGAGTTAATTGAAACACAGTAATTGAATTTTTTCAAATAATTTACTATTCCTAAATACCATTTTTTGGGGATCCACGATTTAAATATTGAAAATTTCAATTATCAGGAAAATTCAAGTTTGCCAACTTTCGATTGTAGTCAACTGATTTACTACTAATAACTTAAACTCTTTTAATTAATGGTTACTCACTTATCATTACCAAATAATGCAATTACTTCTTTCCACTACAGTCCACTAAACCTCGACTACTTCGGTATACCTTTCCGATCAGATTTGCACTAGACTTAGAAAAGGATTTAAAATATTAACCAATAATATTCGAAAGTGTTTCAGTTTGTTAAAGCACACGGTTCAAATAACATTGTATCAGGGATTTGATGGAATAACTAAATCAAAATTTAAATTGCTCAATAAAATAGCGGCAAAAGCTATCACATATACATATTTGTTTTATCAATACAAAATGTGAAGTTATTAATTTCACCCAACCAATCAACATGCAGTAATGCTCAATCAATTAATTAGTTATCGCTAGGTATTAAGTTACGTTTAGTATCATTTGCTCCAAGTTATAAAGCATCTCACTGCATCGCGAACTAAAAACATAATTTCCAATTTCTTTCTCCAGATTTATGAATTTGTAATTGGCGGTATTATTCAGAGCCGTTAATTAAAATACTTGTGCCGATTCTCTTTTCAATAAATAAATGAAGAATTCAATTACCGAAACATTGTAACAATAAATCTCAAGAAAGAAAACCCAATTTCAGATTCTTAAGTGGAACGTGATTTCATGTTAAATCGCAAACGTTTCCTTTTTCACATTTAACCATTTCGCTTCTGTCTGTGGTAAACTTCCAATTTTCGGATCTTGTTGAGCGGTAAAAATTCTTATACATTCTACTTCTTTTGTATGCAAATGCCTTCCCAAAGATGGTAAAATAACGAAATGGGACCATCAGCATGCAGAAAATTGAGCAGTTCTATTGTTTCCTTTGGTACAGTTAGCTTGCTCTGACGGTCGCGACTTAAAAATATCTTTTGAAAATTCCATTCAATATTATACTGTGCATTTGGGAAGTATATTAAAATCGTCACTTTCACTTTCGACCAAAAGTGACAAAATCGTGTATCATTAAATTAATTTATAATATTTGAATTTATTTGAGAAAACTTTCGCAATGCTGAAAACCTAAGTTCGAATTAAAATAGCACAAGAATATCTGATGGACTTTGTTAAGATATTAAATATTTTCTATTATACATTGATATGAAACTTTTTGAATAATAAAAATATAATTTAATCATCGCTCAACCGACTAACAACTGAAGTATTTTAAAAAGTCAATGATTTATATGTTAAGCTTGAAAAAAATTACGGTATTATTTACGAGCTAAATGGGTTATATCCTGTTACGGGAAGTATAAATTTTTTAAATATAATTTATATAGGATTCCAACCCTTTCGATATATCGAGTTTTTCATTGCGTGTCTCATTTATTATTCTCTAAGGTTCAATTACACATTCGGCTCTACTTTTTAAGGTATTAAATGAGAATTCGAAAATCTCATGAGTTGGCTAAAAAAGAACGCTTGCTAGAATTAGCTTGATCGAAAAGCATTTAAATACCGTATAAAACAGTCAGAAATTTATAAATTTACCTTACTTGCATATTATTTTCTGAGTAACCTGACAACGCTCAATATTATTCTTGTACAATTTAGGGTTCGTGCACCTTTTCTCATTTTAATTAGCAAAACTAATCTATCATGAGGTTGTACACGGCCGCTCACTAAGAGAGCAAATCTAGGAATGATTGATCGGAAAGAGCAAAAAGCATCGCATTTTAGAAAAATTAATTAAAACAGTAATATTTTTCATCAGGCTGTATGGTGTTAATGGTTTTTATGTTTGCCGTTTATACTCTTCTGATGTTCGAAAAATATTGGAGATTGTCAGAATTACAATTATTATTGTTGTGCATTTCACAACAATTGCATGACAACATTTTTTAAATGATCTCAGGAGGTCAGATATGTTTTAAACATTAACATGTTTTAAGACGGTGTTGCAAAGCTTAAAATATAATGACGTATTTTTAATTAAGATCAGAGTATTGGAACAATTATGAATCAACCAATAAACATACATTTTGTTGGTAAATTGATCAAGAAATATTTAAAATCAAACAGCTGAAGGACATACGCTCATAAAATACATGTTTCGTAAGTAGTTAAACAACCTCACATCCTTCATTGCATGTTTGAATGAAAAAAATCCCTATTAACAATACTTGCGGACAATTTTCACAACATTTCAAAAATAATAAACACTTTCCTTCATATTTCGAAAAAAAGCTCTAATGAACGAACACACTAACAAGATCCGGGAATATGGTAAACATTGTTTCTTTCAATCTTGTTCTGCTGTCAAGAATTCAGAAGATATCAAATAGGATTAAGCCGCAAGATATAAAAAAGTTTTGTTTTTATTTGAATTTCAATTCGGAGGATCAAGTCGGGAAATCTCATGTAAATAATAAAAAGGGCATGGGTAGTAAATGGAGATACTCAGAGGATTTTCCAAGAATATTGTACTGTAAATTTTGATCGATACCATACGAGATAGCCGTTATAAAATATGTGTTCCAGAAATAAACCATTAGTAATTGATTGGAACATGCTTTTAGAGTTTTCCTGGAACGCATATGAATTAAAAAGTTAATCAGGGAACCCCAATTACCTTCTAACGGCGCGATACCGCCTAATAACAACACCATATATTAAAAAATCATCAATTAAACTAAGTATCACCATTGAAATTAAAAACCGTCACATCGAGCAATTGACTATTTTAGAAAAGTAAAGCCAAATTAATCAATAAACTAAATTTATATCATGTTCAAATTACACTTCTTATCACCCCATTAAGTACCACAAAAGTTGTCTTCTGTTCCGCAAAAGTTACGGATCTAAGAGGAAAAGATGCCTGAAGAACAGAGGTATAAAATTTCGCGTCTAATGCCGTTACTTAAAAAGTATTCAATACGTGCCAAAACGGCAGCACTAATAATAAAATTAATTGTTAGGCAATTGTATTGGAAATGCAATTTTTAAATTTAATTCAAAGTGATACCGCTGGCAAAACTTATAAGTCAGAAATACGAAACATTTTCCAACTTAAATTTTTCAAGTCATTGTTAATTTCTGATTTTGAAATACAATTTCTGATATAAACTGTGACGTTCAAAAATGTATAAGCGCTTCTTTAGATACTTCATATATACTTTAACTAAAGCATATTTGCCTACGGTTACAGTTCAAGTGACTACATAAATATGTCTACAGTAACGAAGGCATATCGGCTTTCTCCGGAATGCGGTTACCTTTCAGTTCATTTGTATATTATTTATAAAATTGCTAGGATCATTTTAATAAGATAACGAGAGTTGTTTCTTTGAGTATTAGGTTTTATAGAAATGTATTGAGATGTTGATTATTAAATAAGCAAAAATTTGTCCGGCAGTAGCCGTATAGCTAAGGAAATACCATTGATTTATAGAAGTTAGTAATATTTATCAATGTCATAGCAATTATTTCATTGGTTGTTTGCTTAAATAATCTTATTACACATTTAAATTTTAAGCATGTAAAATTCACCAACCGAAAATGTGATTGAAAAAAAAAATGTTAAAAAAGAAACGAGCATCATGTACAATTAAATTATGAAATGATTTACCTCCAGTCTTTAGTGAAGACCAGCGAATTTCCGGGAAAGGTCATTATTGCACATACACCACAGTTTTAAGCGATTTCCATGGAATATTGAAACAAACTATCTGCACAGTAAACATAAGGTAAAAAATTTATATTGGACAAAATTGTCATCGAGAAGCATGTACAGTTCAATTATGAAAATTTTTTGGTACATCATAAGCATCGCATTGAAGTATTAACCGATTTTGAATTTATCACATATTAACTGTTATTATATAAATTATATATTTAGTTTGCATATTATCATCACCATATTGCACATCAGGATACTAATACATAAAATGAAATTTACCACACATGCATCCTATATATTGCTTTTTCTTATAAGTATTCTACCTGACTTAACGTAGGTATATAGAAATAAGTTTGTCTCTAGGAGTTTGCCGACAGTCAAGGTTTAACTAGAGACATGCTTAATTCCAATATATCTATTTTCAGTTCTTTAAACCAAACATTCAAATGTAATCCAAACCTTATTATCGAAATTTTTAGATCCAAATCAATATATTTAAAATATTCTTTAAAATAATTTTTGAGGTCCTGTGACACCCAATAAATAATGAGCTATTTTAACTGCAACGAGAGGAATAATTACTAGATAAGTGTCATTTGTAATTTTATTCCGCAAGCACATATTTTAGAAAAACAAATGGGGTGTTTTAAAGATCGCGTTTCTCCCGGTAACAAGAGAATACCATTTGCCTGATGTGTTCTGGTCTATAAATATCTCAACTTATGTTCTTTCTATATTTTAATACTTGTGATCATTTCACTTGTGGAGACTCAAATTTTCTCAAAACTGTGTTTAAATCTGTTATGTCATATATCAGGCGTTCTCGTGACCCGACAGCTGAGCTGAGTTAATATATTTTGGAATTGCAATTAACAAGAAGAGATGATGGAGCTAATTGTAATTCGGAATTTAAATCGAACCTAGTAGTTGCTAAGGATCAGACATTTTTTTGGTGTTTTTTAATACTCATTAATTCAGTCATTAAGTAGGCAATGGATTTTAAGTAAAGTCTGTCGATGCGAAGACAAATATTTTATGAAAATTCCCAGCAGTTGCAAAAAGTTTTGTAACGTTGTGCCAATTAATAGGCAGACAGCTTAAGTTTATTATATATTCTAATTTATCTTTTCGTGCAGTACTTTTCCTGGGATGCTGTGTGGGGTGTGCGTAAGCTGTCAGTGAACTTACATGGTATAAGTTGACTGTTTCAATCCAATAAATGCAGCCAGATTTGAAAAGTTTATTGGCGCACAAAAATCACTTAAACAATTTGTCACCCCACACGGTACACTTTCACAAGCAATAAACCGCCCTAAGGCCGCATCACATGGTCTGATAAATAATCACCAACCGTTTCCAAATCAAGTTATTTCCAACTTCATGAACTTCCTGCTCGGAAATTATTCGCGAGTTTTCCGTATATTTCGGTTTTGCGTCGCGACGCCTCCAGTGGACTTGGTGACGATTCGCGTGATACTGGAAGGGCCCAGCCTCAAAGTTGATTCCAGCGCCGCTAAGTCCTGCGCGGAACAAACAAAAACTATCGGTTTTTTTTAATTTTGAGCACTTTTTTTTAGATATGATTACTCTATATAGGTTCAGCATTGTTGACTGTAAATTTGAAAGCAGAACAACCATATTATGCTTGTCTACTTTTTGAATGTCCCTCGTAATCCAACATCGAACGGGCCTCGTACAACCCCTTACAAAGCCCTACGTTTTCAGTAATAAGTTTTATGTCGCCGAGCGTCCAATAACTGAGTCAAAATAAATGTTATAATAAGAAACAAATATTCTATTTTTTCGGAAAGAGGGATTTTAGCAAAGGAATTTTGCGGTCGGATTCATACGATGATGAGCATCAAGCATCGCATTAAGGCAGGTTTAGATCGCTTGCTTAAGAGACATTTGAACAATGGAAATTCTCACGCGTCGGATGGCTACCCATTTAACCAACAGGAGTTAGATGTTTTGTAACTTTCTGCTAATAAAATGGAATGAAATATTTTTTTACTAATTCGAATCACATATGAGTTCACAGGTTGAAGTCCATCGATTTGTTTCAAATTACAATCTATGATTCTAAAATAAATTTTTTAAATCTACATGTATTTCAAATACAGACTGTTGTTAACATCATTAAATTTGTTAATTTACGTATTATTTAAATTGTGTCATAACATTTCTTTTTCCACACACGCTAAAACGTCCGGCGGAAAGAATGACATAAGAAACAAGAGCTGAGACTATGCTATAATAGATTGATGCTAACTATTCGCAAAAAGATTTTCTATTTAATATTGCTCTTAGAATGAAAAATTGTCGAAGGTGTCAAAGGTGAAAAATTATATGTGTATAGTTGCATCCTTTTCAGGCTAATCGAAAGCTTTGGAAATTGTTTAGTTAAATTAACATGTGTCGGAATTACGAGCGAAATTAATCACAGTGTGTCAGATTTAATAATAGAACGGATCTCCTTAAGCACTAAAGGAAAGTCTTTGCTTAGGCCGATATTGAAATCTAGAAAATGGTTACGTATAATGCCGGAAATCATGTTTAGAAAACCTGTTCGATGTGGGAAACTTATTTGGGCATTTAAAACATTTGTGTAAACCATCTGATTGAGCTCTTCATAAATCAAGCGGTCTACTCCATATACGGCTCTTCATAAGTTTCGCATCTTGAAGGAAAATTCAGACGTAAATGGGTTTCCCTAATTTAGTTCAATTATCCTGCGGGGTTCCACAGTGATCCGTATTAGGACCCTTGTTGTTTTTGCTCGCCTTAAATGTTCCGCCTGGAATCGATGGCAAAAAACCTAACAATGTTTGCTAATGATAATCGTTTTTTTCGAAAATTATCGCAAACTTCCACAGGCCTCAATTCGATATCTCCGGAATAAGATTGCACATGACAATTACTAGAATTTAATTAATTTCAAGTATGAATAAACGGATCGATTTCTGTTAATCTTCGATGTGTCTCGAATATTGTTGTTACAAAATTAGGTTAAAAGTAGCACGTCTGAAGTACAGTGCTTTAGGATAATTTACAGGTTTATCGTATACATATAGAAATGTAACTTAGTCACGAACGCTCATTTTGATGGGGTTTTCAATAAAAATTGTTCCAGTTCATTTCGCTTGCAAATATTAAAGCACATTTCTTTAATTTTAATTTCTTATTATCATCTCTAACGCTTAAAGTTTGACCCCATATGTTTGAATTTGATCACATGTTTTTGGTCTGTTTGTTTTGAATATTAATTTACGAAAACTTTGAAAATGTAATAAACTTTAGTACATCATGATTATAATAATTGCCGGGCCGAGTTTCAAGTTCACATTGTTTGCGTTGTTTTAAACTACAGTTTAGTGCATATTCTCCTATTTCGTTTAATGCAAAACTGCAGCAAAAAGGTGCTAGCGGTATTAAGATAAGTCAAAGACTAGAGTAATTACTGCTGTAGACCCTCGCGAAAAGTGTTAGCTCTCCTTTAAAATAGGAATTTATTTTCAAGGAACGTGAGTGCATATTTTCTACTTTTACTTATAGTAAAAACCAAAATTTACTACTTCTAATGCATTTATATAGCGCAATTTCTAGGTAGTTCATTTGAGCACGAGTGCATTTCCTCCTATGTGCAGGAAGAATTAAGAAATTCTTGGCTTCCAAAGGTCTAGTAGCTTCAGCGCTTAGCATTTGATTAACTTTTAAATTGAATGCTCCTCGGATTCTAACTTGACCACGACTAATGACAATTTTTAGGAGTATATTTCTAATTCACGACTTTTTTTGGTAATTAACATTAGAGAATTGGCAATTTTTATGTATAAATATTAGCCCGGTGCCAAGCAGATGTAAAACATTTCTGTAGTTTTAGTTTGATATTTTTTTGTTGGGCAATAGAGTCGTTTATCTCTCACAAATTTCTTCAATTGCCAAATTTAGTCTCTGCAAGATGGTTCCAGATATCGCAGACCCAATTTAAATTTTATTTTTATAGGAAGCTTTAAGATCTCAGCATTGTATTATGTACAATAAATAACCTTAAATAAAGTCAATAATAGTTTTAGTTTAAACATAGTAATTTAATTGAAAACACGATATTAAAAATACATACAGTCGGCTTGAAAAGCCATGAAGCATGATGAATGTTTCAATCAATTCGGCAAGTTCAGTTAGGACTAAAGTGATAATTTTAGTCAATTTCGAAATATGTCTGAACTGAATAAAATTGAGGCACAACGTAAATCGATTTCCGTTGATTATATTATTTGTCGAGTCTTGATGGATATTTTAATTCAACAATGTGTACCTTGTTTAGAAGATGAATACGTTTCAAGAAAACAGCTTTATTTGAGAAATCGCGCCAGGCAAGCGTAAGCTAGAAATAGAGCGAAACGCCTCTGAAAATTGAAAATATCAAATTTTTTTTCCTAAGGCCGTTTTAGAAAAACTCACCAGGGTTGCGAAACCCTAACTTTTCTAATAAAAGTTACTGTTTTGATATTAATATTTTGGGATAATTGAGTTTCACACACTAACACATTAGATACCATTATTTCAAATAATACAGTTTAGGTAATAAGAAGCATGTTAATACGCAACAAGAACTTTGAATATAATGAATACAAAAACTAGGGACTGTACGTGCAAGCTCTATCAGCTTTCTGTAAAATTTTGCTTAAAGTTTTGCAATAATAGTCCGAGTAAGTCACATTATTCGATTAACCTGCAGCCAGCTAAAAAATTCCGAGTGTAGGTCCTCTCCCTATAATTTTTACAATGTCAAAATTAAATGTCCCGAATATAACGAGGAAAATCCTGATTTACTGTGCAATTAATCTTATTTAGAAATAATGTGCAACAGCCCATTACCTAAACAACACTTATTTGTTCTTCTAACTTAAATCCTTTAATTAGGGTCCCTTACTTTACTTTCTTCTGACAAAGGGTTTTATATTTCTATTAAATTCTCTAATTACGTTACATAACTCTCAACCATAAATTTAAGGTTTCCCCAGAATGCTTTAAAACACGGAGCAAGGTCCTGAAAGTGCAAGGCAAAAAACAGTCGGCCGTTTCACTAATGAAGTCCACTTGTTCCGAGATATTTCAACTTGCTGACCCAATGAAATACGGGCGGCGTTCAACTGTTTGAGTTTCTTATTGTAGAGGTTTTTATCGCGATTTTGACCCAATCATTGGCGAACTTGAAAACTGGTTAAATCAATTGACTTTTTAAAAGGTATAATAAAGTTCTTTAACTAGTTAAAGGCGGCTCAATTACACAGAGTGATTCAAACAAATCGCCTCGTCAGTTTTGCGATTTTATTTCCGCTTTGTTTATTTGTTTAATTCAGCGGTATGTTTCCGCCAGTATACAAATAAGAGATAATTCAAGCATTTTTGGCTGGTAAAAATCAAGTCATCAAAATTTTTAACGAAAACAAAAATTGACTAGCAACTTTGACATTATCATCTTTCGTTGCTGTGAATTTTAAATGATTGGTGCAGTTAATCCACGTTCTGAGAGAACAGTACAACAATTTCGTTTCTCATCATCTGATCTGGAATAATATCTAAAATCAGCAAAGCAAAAATCCAAATTTTTCCGCTTCGTTCTCGTTTAATCAACCGTTAAAATTTAAAATAAATACTTTGAATTTGAGATTGACTAAAAATTCTGCACGCTTTGCTTCATTTTAAATATTATCGGTATAACCTCTGCTCAGAAAATAATTTCTAATATAATGCCTATTATTTCAGATTTGATGTGAATTATTCCAGGAAAACTTGTGAACTTTTATTTAAACGGCTAGCTAGAAATGGGATTTTTCCATAAATGAAAGTCAAAACGCAAACAGGTCTTGTACATTCTGTTCATCGAGTCTGCAAGTCTAAATTTGTAAAGCTGTACAAAAAGTTGTATTTTTGCCAACCATTTGTGGATGCACATCAACCAACTATTCCCAGAAAAAAAACGTATTATATAAGTTTCTAAAATTTTGTTTTTGAAACCTTTCCTTAGACAACTTAAATATTTTGGGAATACATCTATCTTATTAAATACAAGTTGAATTGGGAAATAGTCAAGAACGGCCTACATTCAGATATAACGGGCAAACGCATATTAATCTTATAACTGCAATTCTCATCTAATACTCATAAAATTTTATTCAATTTATGCTTCTTAACTTTCCCAATCCTGCGAATGAAACTGTAAGGTACGGTTTTCAAGTTGCCGTTGGCTGGACGCGCAAAAAATCACTACTGAGAGAAAAGTAAACGGTTAAAAGGCCTACTTTCCTGTCGAGACAGCATAATAGGATTATTTTCCCAAAGGTTCACTTCATTAACGGATTACTTGAACTTTTTACCCACAGCCCTGAGCAGTGCTTATTTTCATGACTCAAATCAATTTTGTATGCCAAAGCTCAATTAATCAGAAGCCCAG